CATTCATGCATAGTTGCATATACTCCACATTATAATATCTCAAAGTACATATGAACTGCATTGCTGATGCCCATCGGATCTCCAGCTAAGCGCTGCCTCTTTACCGTCTTGATACCTTCTTTGAAGAAACAATCTTCGATATGGTGCTGGAATCATATTCATCCCCTTTAGAACCTCAGTACTTCTTAATAGCCCTTTTCATCGCCTTCAGTCATCAGCAGCACCGTTTTGGGCTAACGTGTAGATAAGTATATGGGAATTCTGACAACTTCTTTCTGTCGAGAACGTTTTCTTCAAAAGAGATATGCGCTCTTGAGTTCGGGGTTGAAATTGACGGGAACTTGCTGAACAAGCCAATATTCATCCATCCTGAAACACTGGGCTTCTCAGAGCGATGAAATTGTCGGAATTCGTTCTTGCCTCGTTGATTTCTGAAGCGTTTGTAAGCCGAGAGGCTACTGAACATGTCAAGAAATGGAATTTGACGCGGAGATTCGTCGAGTACAAGTGTAAGACAGAATTTCTTACATTAGGCCACACAATTCAGTTTTACAACGCCGTTTGTGCGACATGGTTGGTTCTCTTCTGTTGACTTACCTAGTCTTAGCGATAGCTGCTATTCGTAAGTGCAAGTGATTCACCCAATCTCGGAAAACTAGTAATCCTAGAAAAAGCGGTGAAACAGTCAGCTCCAAGTGCATTTATTTGCAAATTGCTGTGAAGTTCTATATGGGCGGCCAACTACCATCAGTAGACCGTCTCAGGCTGACGAAGAATTCATCCCTCGACGCACATCCTGTTAGGGTGCAGACCAGACATTTTGGATTGGAATCTTGAACAGTAACACCACCTCGAACGTCCTTTTTTCCCGTGCTCGGTTAGTACACGCGGTATTCGTTTCTCAGCTTTATCTTTTTCCGAATGCTCGGAAGTTGTTGTCGCATGCAGGCTTCCGTACATAGAACTCACCCAGGGCGCAAGAGCTTCACAGCGGCATCGACAGCTTCAGTTTTCCCTGTCCACAGCAGGCTGTCGTCTGGTCCCATCTTTGCACTCTCTCGCTCATACTCTTCTCTCCACGCACAATCTCTAATACTAGGTTGTCCAGAAATTAATGCCGGTTTTTGACCTCCGTCTTCAAAGCAACATATCTCAGCTCAAACTCAACATTTTCAGTAATTCAAAAAAGCGTTGGAAACTAAGCATTCTTTCCAACAAAAAGCATGCTGAATCAACTCGGAATGTAGAAACCGCAGAAGCGCGGAAATCATCGAAGGTCTTTTTCACCATGTCTCAGTTTTCAAAAAATCTTCTGCCCAAGAAGCTGTCGAGATGACTGAAAAAGTAGGAGGTTGGTGAGAGAGGGGAGAGGTCTGCGAGTATACTGTGTGAAGCAAAGCTGGATAGGTCGATTAGTCCATTTCTTGCGAGGTCGTTTATGCGACATGTGGATGGCCGTCAACATGAAAGACAGTTTTTTCCCTCTCTTAGATAAAGACTGCTGTTTCCTGTGCACCACGTCTGTGTGATGGATGAACCTTTGTGCTGTATCAACCTGGGTTCAGAGAGCTGTGATGCATCATTACTTCGGAAAGGCCACGAATCCATCAGCGTAGGTCCTCACTTTGTGGAATTCCTGCTTTGGAAAAAGTTTTTGATGTTCGTTGCTGTTAGATTTTTGGAAAATTGCTAATTCTGTTGCGAAGAATCCCATTTCCGTCAAGGATGACGAAATTCTTCTAAAACTCGGATATTTTTGTTGAACGAGACGAGTTGCGACGAGGTCCCTGAAGGGCGAATTTCCTGCTGCTCAGTTAGAGGCTGGAACCGATATGCAATAAAGTCAGCGTCTGTGCGACCTCGTTTTTAATGTCGGGTCTCCTTTCGACTAGTGAGAAATAATTATCTCTGTTACTTTCTAATTGCTTTTCTGAGAAGACCTTGTGGCGCTGCTCTTTCTTGGTGTCTATCTCGAGGGCTTTAATCGCAATTCTGGGCCACGCAAACACTGCTTAGTTTTTTTTCACCGTTGTTAATGCTTTAATGATTAGTGGTTTGACAATTTTAGGTAAAGTAACAATCCATAGGCTAACTTTTCCAGCGACTGCCATTCTTCTCTATTGCACTACCTGCAGCCTTCAGAAAAACTGCACACGGGAAGAAGATGTACGAGAACCTGAAAAGAAATAAGGATAGGTAGGTTTGGTCTGGTTTTTTTCGACAAGGAAGCTATGTTGCAAGCATAATCCCTGTTAATACCGGTAATGGCTACAAGTTTTGAAATTAAAGGAATCTTTCGCGGAAAATTCTTGCATTCTTTCTTGACATGAATGTGTCAGTTGTGATCACTGGAAACAGCACACAAAGTTTCACGCATGAAGATTCGGTTTCCGAAGAGAAACAAACGTTACAAAACTACACTCTATGGACAATCGAAGGTAATTCGGGCGGAGCCAAGGCGAGGCATATAAAGAAGTTGGCCTTTGGGCGGATAGTATCAGGGGTAAGCAATTGAAAGTCGCCGTCTAGAAGCGAGCGATTTCGTCCCCCGACCCCCGAATTTTCCTGAGAGACAAATCGATCGATAGAATAGGATGGAGTAGAAATGTAAGATGTGAATGCAATAAAGCAGAAGGCCAGAAAGAGTTTCTAGTGAAGGCACTCCAAGAACCAAGTGGAAGCATCCCCTTCGCCAGCATTTGTGAAAGACGTCCGTGGGTTAGCACTTTTTGGAGCGAGCGTAGATGTTTTCCGATTTTGATTCGAATTTAACAAAAAGCAAATATCTTTTTGTTCTTTCCATTCTTAGGCGTGTGCGATAATGGTGAATATTGATTGGCTCTCGCGCTAAATCAGGTTTTCCGTGAGGGTTACATTTTACTTTATTTTTGAATTTGTGTGTCTGGTTTCATTACTTGCAGTCTTTCGCACGGGCCGATGTATAGTATATTTACACTCGATGGCCGAATTTCTCACTTCTTCGCGGATGATATTCCCTCATGATATCCCTGATCGCTGCCTTGTTAATAGTACTCTGTTCCGAAACGAATATGACCAATAAGAGTTACGTAGCAAGGTAACATGGAATGAAACTATAGTTAACTGGAGTGTCATTCACCGGGAGGGATCTACCTCGACGTTTTTCTCCATTTTAACGGAAGCAATTCTTCATGTATCCTGCTAACTATAAAGCGCTTCGTCTGTTGTTCTGTTGTGTAGTTCTGTATGTCTGTCACGAAATTCCCTAGCTCCTGGGATCCTGGAGGGACCGGGTCAAGTGTGTGGATGGGTGGGCAAGGTCTCACGAAGTACAAAACACACATCAGCTAAGCGGAGCCCCGCCCACAGAGGGCGTGGCGTGCGTCGAAATGAACTGTACCGAAGACCAAGATTTCGATTTCAGTGACAAAACACCTCGAAACTGGGCCAAAAAGTGGGTAAAGGTGTGCATTGGTAAGTCACATCGAATAGGGAGACCCACCCCAGTGGGCGGGGCAAAAAAGCAAAGCTATGTGAAAAAAAATTATAACTCGGTTTGGAGTAAGTCTATAGTCCAGAAAGAATGTAGTGTAGGGGAGCAATGCATAAGGTGTTTCCTGCATAATTGACGTGGGCGGAGGCATCCGATGAGCGAGAAGCGCGCCTTTGAAGTGATGCACGTTTTTCAGAGTCATCAATATTATCGGGACGGGACGAAGCTTAGGTGGTTCCACTGGATAGAAAGTTGGCAGAGGTGGATGAGAAGTGGACGTCCAGGAATTATCGGGGGGGGAGGCATGAAAAGTGCGCGGAGTGGTTCAAAAATTCATAACCGGTCTAGAGTCCTGGAGATTCGAGAAATATATGTGAAGATTGAGTGTCCTGGTAACGAGACCTCAAGGGATGAGATCATAGCTGCTTTTGGGATGGGTGGAGGGGGAGTGATTTTGGGCGGTGCAACAAGGTGGGCGAAATTTGCCAAATTATAAATCGGTCAGAGATAGTTCAGAGATCGGGTAAAAGTGGGGAGAGGTTGGCGAGGAAGAAAAAGATAGGTGGGACATGCAACGAAATAGGCAGGAGTTTACCACAAGGTTTATAAATCGGTCCAGAGGCAGTCCGGGAAAAGCGGACAATTGGTTGACGAAGAAGGGAAGTCAAAAGCCATCGGTGGATGAGCATGGGACAATCGGATAGAATTCAGCTTGAAAGTCAAATATTCGAAGTGTATTGGGCCAAATTCGAGAATTTACGCCGCACCATCCCATATCGCCGCAGAACTGTGCTGTGCGCGCAACGCGTGCGACCAAATGGTATTCTTTGAACTGGCAAAAAATTTCCTAATCCTGAGTAATCGATAAAAGAAGAGAGGTTTCCGCTACAACGGGGAGCAGAAGATTATCGGTCGCTGGAGGACTGCACGGGTTTCGTTGGTTCAGATACATCGCGGTCGAGTCTTTCCTAAGGATATATTGTGGCTCTTAGGCGCGGCTACCTCCTCATCCCGACTGAGGGCAAGTGCTATGCGACCAGCGGAAGCGTGCAGCACATCCGGTCGAGGATGGGTTCCCACCCTCTGCATCCCTGGAAGCATCCCCTAATGGAACGTATTGGAAAATGTGTCGTTGGCTGTAGTAGAGACGCGGAGGGTTGGAGACACATTCCTGACCGGTGCGCTGCACGTTCCCAGATATGACAAGCATAGCCAACTAGTGCTATATCTTTCATTTTTCGGAACCTGTTCAGTAAGTTGTATCTAGGCTGACGACGCCTTTCGATATTCATGCAACTCTTATGGACATTCTCCACCTACCAAGGGATCTTACAACGATTCAGGACACGAAGAGAAGATCTTTATCCCTCTTTCGCCCTATCCCCGAGGAGCGAACCTGCACACAAGTTCGTTTATGTCTATTCTTTGAGCTACCTTCTTTTCATATTCTTTGCATAATTTTCACTTGCTACTACTCTAGCGCGGGCGGAAGTAGGTGTAGTGGCAAGTGGCGCGCTTACCACGCGAGCGGTCCGGGGATCAAATCCTGGGTCGTGAGTCGCCCGGGCCAACCAAGCCTTCCATCCCTCCGGGGTCGGTTAATTGGTACCAGACTTGTCTGGGAGGATAAAAACACTGACTTGTACATCGGCTGGCCCCCGCAAGTCATTGTATAGGCCACATCGCATTCAAACGCCACTACGAATGTACAAATGGAAGTAGAATGCGTGCCGCATCCCAAAAAGGGATTGATCAACGGCAAATGCTTTATCCTTTACCAGTTTAGCTCCGCACGCTACCGCGCACATGACACGCTAGGCTTTGTTGCAACTGTATAGCCTGTGGAAAGTTGGGTCCCACCGCTAAAGAATACAACAAGTTGTTGCATCGCGAAACACTCTAGCTGACCTTCCCATAGCCTTCCCATTTTTGCCAAAGCTACCGTTTGATACGCT